TGTCCCCGAGCGGGGACGGCGCGACGGGGACGCCCGACAGCCCGGGGACCTGCGGCTCTGAGAGGAAAGGCGGGGAAAGGGGCACAGGAGGCTGTTCCAGGGGTGCGAGGTAACGCAGGAGAGTGTGCGTAAAGGCTCGGAGGTGGCATCTGGTGTGGCTGGAGGAGCCGAACGTCACGAAGCGACAGATGGAGAGCGCGGTCGAGGCCGGGTCAGGAGGGCCCGGGGAGGCACACTCCGGACTTAAAATCTCGAGGGATTCAGAGTTTTCTATGTATTTTTTCACGTGTATATTTTATTATATATTTTCGTTTTTAATGTAAGTTATATAGAACGTGTACTATCTGCAACAGAATACATGGCATACATGAAGTTGTGGAACATGGTAATCAAATTTCTACCCACGAATACTCCATCCTCCATGAGGACCTAGCGTAGGTGCGCCTCCTACCTGTGTTCGTCCCTCATCCCATCTCCCTCCCTGCCAGATGTAACCTCTCTCCTGAGTTTTGTGTCTACCATGCCCTAGGTTTTTAAATGTTTCTTGTTTTTAAATCGTTTGTCTCTCTAAATATATGGTTTCGTTTCGCTCATTTGAAGTTTTATAAAAATGGTATCATGCTGTATGTCATCTTCTGCAAGCTGCTTCTTTCAAAGTTGATCCTATGTATAATACATGTTGTGTATAGATATACAATTCGTTTTCTCGAATAGAAAATATTCTATTATGTGAATAAACCACAATTTATTGATCCGGCGATTAAGGTACTTTTTTTTTTCTTAAACCTGAAATGAGAAACTATCGAAAAGAACCCAAAATGTGTCCCGAGGTACGCATGCAAGAGATTTTGTAGGACTTAGTGTAGGATCTATAGGATGGAGGAAGGTATGCAAATGTTCATCTTTGCAATAAACACTAAAACGGTTTCCCATCTGGTGATACCGATTCCACTTCTACCATGAAGGTGTAAGAATTCTTGTGGATTTAAATCTTCAGCAACCCTTAGTACCATCACACTTAATTTTCCCAGGCGAGTGGATATAAAATAGTATTTCACTTGTTTTAATTTGCATTTCGCTGATCACTAATAAGATTGAGACTTTTACATAAATTTATTAGCCATTTAGAAGACCTCTTTTTAAAATGCCCATTTTTCTTTGCAGTCGTCTTCTTATTGATTTGCGGGAGCTGTTTATATATTCCTGTTGTATTTGTTTACACACATTGTGTTCCAGTTCATGGCTTGTCTTTTCACCTCCTTTATGAAGTTTTTGATGAAGTTATTGACTTTAATAAAGTAGAATTTATCAATCCTTTCTTAGCTCTGTGTCTTTTCATGAAGTCCTTCCTTGCCCCAAAGTCAGAAAAATATTCCACATTTCCTTGTAAAAGTTTCAGAGTTTCGTCTTTTTTTATAGATTAAGGTACATTGGTTTGTGTGTGTGTGTGTCTGTGTGTGTGTGTGTGTGTGCGTGTGTGTGTGTGTATAAGGCACAGATCCAATTTGATTTTCCATATAAAAATAAACACATCAATAATTTCTCCTTCCCCAGTATCGATGATCAAGGCCACCTCTGTCAGGTGTCAGGCTTTCATGAGTGAGTAGGAATATTGTTATTCCACCCCACTGGTAAATGTATCTGTGTGCACTATTATGTGATATTAATTACTATATCTTTATGGTAAATCTTGATATATGGATATCTTGAAGTTTTTCCCTTCCTTATTCCTCTTCAGGAGTTTTCTGACTATTCTTGGGCTTTGGCCCCTCCGTAAATATTTCAGAATTAGCTTGTCAAGTATTCTGTTGGCATCATGATTGAAATTACACTGAATCTATAAATCACTTTGGTGGTTTTGATCTTTACGAATTTGAGCCTTCCAATCCATTACATACTATATCCCTCCATTTGTTAGGTCTTCAGCAACGTTCAGTGGAGTTTTACAATCTTCATAAAGATCTGATCTTGAGTATATTACATTTCCCTCTATTCCTTTGGAAGCTTACATGTACTTATCGTCCTTGAAATTTCGACGTGCATGCTTAGTCTGAAAGTGAGATCCTGGACGTCCCTCTGAAATGGATCTTAGAATGCTTTTTCTCCAATCTTCACCTCTCGTGCTATTTTAGTCCTGCCCATTTTAGACCCAGAATTCACATTTTTTTTTAATCATTATCATTATGATGTTATACAGACGTTTGTTTAGATTGCCTGTATGTTCGCCGCTACCTTTGCTCATCATCCCTTTTTGTATCTCCGGTCTTCCCTCTGAAGTCTTCTTTCCTCTTCCTAGAATAGCCCCTGAAGGTCTACTAACGCCCGGTTGTCACGTCGCTCAGATGAGGCCTTCGGAGGCTCCTGTGGCATCGTGTGAAGAATTTAAATTTGGGACCTTGCCCATGATAAGAGTTATTACTGGACATAACTTTTTACGTCCTGGCCATAGGGCAGGGCAAACTTCTAATTACTAAACATCTGCTCTTCTTATCATCCCGCAAGGCCCTTCCTCCCCTCTGAAGCCCCGGGTGCCTTACCCATCCTTGGCTCAGATGTCACACGTACCTCATTTTCCCTTTCTGTCTAGGAACCTCTCGTGTATATGGGGGTCTCTGACCCTCGCATGCATGTGGGGGTTCCCATATGCATGTATGCAATTAAATTTGGTTATTTTCTCTTGTTAACCTGTCTCATGTTAATTTCATTATTAGACCAGCCAGAAGAATCTAAAAGGGTAGAAAGAATTTCTTCCTCTACCACAGTAAGATATACATCAAAGGAATGAGAAGTGTTGTGTCAGCCTCCTGAGGTTATGGGCGATGCTTGTTCTTTTCCCCATTTTACGATATTTCTGTCCAAATGATTCCATCTCTTTGGGGTAAAGAAGATAATTGAAAAGCTGGTTTTGTCCTATTTTTTCTCTCTTGTGATGTGTGTCTTGTCTCTCCAATTAAACCGGAAGCTCCTTGAAAGCAAGGTTGTTTGCTGCTCCAGCTCCACTTAATACCCACAGCACTCGGCTACGAAAAACGGCCGCAGCCACTAAAATAGGGCAGAATGGCACCAAAAAAAATCAGAAGTGTTTTCTCAAGAATGTATGAACATGCTTTTAGATGGGAGCACCTTCATGCCTTCAAAAATACTGATTGATTATCCCCCATGTCCAGGCTCTGTCCGGACTGATTCCTGCACCCCCACCTCCACCACGATGGTCGTGAGTGGAATTAACTAGCTCACCACCCCTCCAGATTATACCTGCAGCCTCCCTGTCTTTCACTATCGCCACCAGAATGTTCCCAATCATTTGATTCAAGATGCTGGAGTCACTTTGGGGGTCCCTTTTCGCTAGCTTCCCTTCTCCATCCAGCTGTCAGGTTCTGTCAGTTCCTCTGGCCTAGTATTCCTCTTAATTATCCCACCCTCTGTTCCAGGATGACACAAAACTGGTCCCTCGAGAAAGAGGATCCGTGAGAGGTTCCAGTGACCTAGAAAGGAATCAGATAGAAGAAAAGGGTGGAGATGTAAACCAAAGTAAGTTAACCTATGCAATAGTACCCATTCGAGATCGGGGATTGTGAAAGAGGCTGCTGGATTGAAGAATCGGGGAGTGTGGGGCACCTTGCGATCCCTGACCATAGATTATGACTCCCAGGCTATGAATTAGTAATTGGCAGATATAGGTAAAATTGCCTCCATTATAATCTGAGGCCAGTTAGAAAAGTATGTGACTAGTTTGTGTTTGGGCCACAATTCCACATCTGCTAGGGGGAAAGACAGAGGAGGAGGAAGGGACTGAATGGGAGCCATAAACCATCCCTCGTTATAGTCATTCATTCTTTAAATACATTTTGAGCACTTGCTCTACGTCAGGCATTTGCTCAGTACTGAGGGTGTAAGAATAAATCTGCCCACATGGAACTTATATTTGGAGAGTCGGGGTAATGAAGAAACAAACATTAAATAAGTCTTCAATACACTATGATAAGTTATGATAAGTACTCTGAGGGAAACGTACAGGGAGTGGGGAGCTGCTGTGGGGAACACCAGCACCGGGGAGAGGGGAAATGTCCCCTGCCAGTGTCAGGGTCATCAACAGCGTTCTCCCACAAGTTACCCCTCTCTCTGACTCAGAAAGATGGATTTGCCTTCCTCCACCCCCGACAGACCAGCAGGCACTAAGGCCCCCTCTTATTCTGAAGGCACTCATATTCAACAAGCTCTGGGGGTGCTTTGAGCCCCACTGAGTCCCAAGCTGCCCCAAATCAGAGTCACCTGAAAAGAGAAATGAACTGCACCTTCCCTCAGCTGCTCCCCCCCGCCCCGACTGCAGGCCCTCGCCAGCCCCCACTCCTGACTGTGGCAATAACCTTGGGTTTCAGAAAGAGAACAGTTATAGCTACTCCTCTGTTGTGAGCTAAACTGTATCGCCCTCGAAACCACATGTTGAAGTCCCAACCCCTGGTAACAAGAATATATGTGTCTGTATTTGGAGATCAGGACTTTTAGAAGGGTAATTAAGGTAAAATGAGGTCCTATGGGTGGGCCCTGATCCAATATGACTGGTCTCCTCATGAAAAGAGGCTGGGACACAAACACACAGACCAAGAGGTGATCATCTGCCAGCCAAGGAGAGAGGCCTCAGAAAAAAACTGACCTTGACCTTGCACTTCTTGCCTCTATAACTGTGAGAAATTAAATTTCCGTCGTTGACGCCACCCAGTCTGTGCAATTTTGTAACAGCAGCCCCAGCCAGCTAGCACGTCCTCCCTGTTGGATTCCCAGACTGAAACTGAAGCCGGGATGGGGAGGAGGAAGTCGTGCATTTGCCTCTGGGA